GTACTGACTTCCAGATTTCGTGTACTGTAAACTCTCTAGGCATTGTAAACTTTTGAGGTTGAAGTCAAAGTTGTCACCAGTTGTGACCGGTCGACGCCCTTCTCCTTTTTGCGTTTTTAAGTGGGGAGGTGGCGGAAACCTAGGCAACCGAATTTCTGCCTATGCTCTAGCTTCCGCGACTGGGTACCCATCAGGGACGCGTGCTCCTGACATCTGCTACTGAAGGCGTACAGGCGAGAATTATTAATATCGACAAGTTCGGGGAAGACTCCATCATGGCCAGATTTGTGCTGTCATCCGGCACCTGGTATGTTATTCGCAAACTCACCTTTTATGCATGTAGTTAAGATTGTAATCTTCTCCCTTGCAGGTTACCTGACAAATCATCATCCTTTGAGTAAACATTTTGCACTTTACTCTCTTTATACTGAAAATCGCCGGTAATCAAGTAGTGAAAGGGCTAATGATTCAGACGAGAACTTCAGAAACATTACTGAGGTAAGGAATGTCTGTCAAGAAGTTTTGATCTTTCATCTTCGGTCTCTATGAGCTCTTGGAATTTACTACCTGAATCTTTCAGCAGAAGAGGCTGAGCTAAAGTTCACTTCCCTCGATTTAATAATTTAGCTTGCGGTTAACCTATCACGATGCCTGCAAACATTCTTGACTTGGACAGATGCCAACTGATGGAATAACTCTTTGCTTTTACGGTCTAAGCGCCAGGCTGCAATGGCTCCTGTATATGGCGAGCGTTTGTGATGGGTGTCCCAAAACTCGCTTTAATTTTTGTCAACACTGTTAATCGCGACAGAGGAAACGTGGCTTTGGCAGGCCGGTCATGGGCATGGGCTAATCACCGAAATGCTAATCGTCCGAAATGCAGGTGAACACAGATGCAGGAAATAGTGTCATTCGCTGACGTTGTCTGGTGACTTCGAAGAGGAGAATCGAGCCTTGGCCTAGGAAACTGGAAGTTAAATATGCGGGATCTGCGACAAAACTTCACAACCTGGAAATATTCAGCGAATATTTGAAGGAGAAAGCGTTCCGGCAGATGTCGTGTTTGAAGGGGTTCCAATCAGCGAAATGTAGCGGAGATTATTAGTCCAGTGCTTTCAGAAGGGAGAAAGGACACTTAATACGTGAAAACATCATGATTTACAGGAGGAATTTTTTATATTCCTCTGCCCGTTGCCTACGCCATATCAGATCAAGGTGCTGCCACTGAGAGAGAACATTCTGGACCCAATATGTAACCAACCAACCAACTACAACGGCTATTCCAATTAGACCAATTAAAGACATTCCGCCTATTCACGCGACATAAAGCTGTATTTATGAGTTTACACGCAGCTGTGGATGCAAATACATCGGACGCATGCAAAGGCAAGTGACAGCTCGGTCAGCTGAAAACATGCCGAAGTGGCTGCTAATGGCGATAAATAAGGTACCCAGAAGTTGAGTTGTTGAGCGTCTAATGAGCACGGGCCGTACGGTGGACCCAAGGACGACTGGACGTCTCCCGCAATTTACAGAGGCCGCCGAAATACGGAGGATAAGACTAGAACTCTGAAAACTGCTGGATCACGTGATCAACCTCACACAGTCACAGCAAGGATCGATAATGGACGTAACCCCATTCACACACTTGCCCTCTCACTCCCCCACGTACAACTGACTGCTGCCACGCGCGTTGCAGTTTTAATCACGTTCGACAGGTTTTCACTGTAATCTGAACTAGCTTGTTTAGATGATTTTCCTTCCCATTCCCTTTGTCACGCGTACCACATATCAGGCAAAAAATCAATGCCTTATTTACCCATCACCTTTCATCCTTCTAGGTCGACCTCCAGTTGAACAATTTACCTTATAAATACGCTATGACCGTGTGCAGTTGAATAAGAGGCCCCGAAATTTTATGACATCGTTAGATTCTGCGTATTTCGTTGCCTTTTCTTTGTTTAGAATCCAATCCATCCCTTTCACCACCATGTTGATACCCGGTTTTTAATACCAGTGAAGACAGTTTCGAATCTAATCACAAACAACAATATGGACTATGCAAGTTAGCCCTTTTTAAAGCACATTAGAATGGTTAAGGAAAGTGTGAATTTACTGAACCTTTCTCAAATTAAAGTCCGCCGAAAAATGTTCCTCATGCTTCTGTTCTAATGCTGTGTGAAAATTTCTGCTGCCCCATGTTAAACCAAAGTACCGCAGAAGGTCACCGGTCAAAAGTATACTCACGAATTCTGGTGTAGTGTGGATTACTTGCATAGGATTATTGGGAGAGCAATCTGTGATGAAAGAACCCGGTACAGTTTGCCAGTTAGGATGAACTCAAGAGTGTGAGTTTTCATCATTTGAATCCTTGGATGCCGGTAAGTTGCATTTGGTGTTGCGAGACAAAGTGCGTCATCAAGCACCCTATCTATCCTTCTTGCCCTCTGCTCACAGCAACCCCTTTCGCCTATGCGGGATTCTGATCTGTGCCTCATGACACTGCCCTCGCCAAGCCTGAACTTTCAAGGGTAAGGGGAAACCACACTAACAGCACAGGTACTAGCCAGAAGCCCGTACACGCGTTTTTCGCCGATATTCTGCCACCGCATGACACAGCTGCGAGGGTTTCGGCTCATCCGTGGGTTCCTCAGCATTTCCCGTCTGCTTTCTGGTAGAGACTCCAATCTAGAAATTGTTACTTTTTAGTTTTAAAAAATTGTTGTTAAATTTAATGAATATTACGCGGTTACCAGCTGCGGCTGATGGACGTCGGCCCATATATTCATACATCAACATTTCGGTCTGCGTTTATGGGCCTAGAATTTACTGATCTACTCCAAGTTCGCAGTGAATTTCTGAGGAGATTAAAAAGCAACAATTCCCGAATTTTCTGACTGGGAGGAGAGAGTTTAGTTCGGTGAGGCTACGGCAGACATAATGCAGGGAAAATTGCGTCGATGCCAACTTCCACGGCAACAAAAGAGGTGATTTCGTAGAATGGCAGTCATGGTAAATACAATAATCGCAAAAAGACAATGATAACAATGACTGTGAACTCAGCAGGTGGGAGCCGCAAACGGGACAGATCGATCGCCTTGGCAACAATAATAAATGGGTAACTGTCTTTGGGGCGATTTTTGGAAGTTCATGCCTGGAAATCTCGAGTAGGGTGCGTTCGCGTTAGATATAGCGGAAACCAGAAGCTGACTGAGCTATTATTCGTTTTAACTTTTGACTATACTTTTACATATTTGAGGAAGACTCACTCAAGGCACTAAAGTCCTAGTACGGGATTCGAGAGCGGTGCTTACCAGTGCTGCTACCAGTATTATGATGAAAATCTGACTAAATTTCGTACCTTCCCCCATCCTCATCCTCTTAGGGAAAGACTAAAGTATACGGGCATTCATTAGAAAACAGCGTCAAAGACGGTGGAGTAAATTCAGAGCAAAAAACTGAACAAATTATTTTGCTGCCAAAATTGCGAAAAAATTCTGTCTACTAACAAGGAGTGCTCATTGTTTAAACGTTTAATACTGCATATTTTAGGTCAAACAACCACAGAGATGATAGAGAAATGCAATTTTTACTTGTCTCAATATTATTTACTTAGAGATACAGAGGCGCCGCGGATGCTGTATCTAAATCCGTATTAGTTGTCAGTAAACGTGGTCACGGAGATTGCCGTTCAAAGGAACGACTCAAATTGCTGGTCTAATGTTGTGTTCTCAAGTATTCTCAACGTTTTCATGACTGACTGCCTGAGGATACGCTTAAGTCAGTTAGCATCAGAGGGCACTCGAGAGAGAGCCTTGCTTGGTTTTCCAAACACAGCATTCTCACCTCGGAAACTGTGTTTTCTTTGAAGACTCCCGGGTTTCGACTGTATGTACCAGGTACAATTAAACTGTATGTTAACGTATAAATAAGATAAACACAGGAAGGGATACAGACAAATACAAAGGAGCTCGGAATGGGCATATCTGGCCTATTAACTGTTGTCAGTCCTTCATACCAAAACCCAGGTTTTGCTGGTCCAGAGGTTCGAACTATTGAAAATATCGGTGAACGTCCTGCCACCATATATAGATACTTCCGCCGTCGTTGCCAAAGATGTCTACCGTGTGCTCCACAGCCTGGTAAAGTAGGCACGGTGATTTGCGCATGGTCTAGTTTACAGTGAATGTAGACTTGCACAACTTTTACCGCACTCTCTCCTCCTCGACCTGGACCCGGTGTCAAGCCATAGTCAAGAAGACCAAAGCCGGGGGAGGACGCAAATGGATGGCGCAGTCGAGCCCAACCTTGGCGTTCCACTCCACACCCCCAGATCCACACAACAAATAACCAGGGTTTTTGACCATCAACAACATCAAAGAGAGTGGAGGTTGGCACTGCCGGAGCCGCACCTAGACGTGCCACCACACCTGGTTAGGATCCCGCGAAGTAAGAGTGCCATAAAGTTCACATTGCGAAAGAGCCATTGCAGCCTGATTCATAGTTCACCAGCCGCTCACTCTACACAGACACACAATACTAGGCCGACTGCGAGATCCAAGTTATCCCGTCAGTTGACAACCTTCAAAGCTACGGCTTTTAGCGCACCGTGATAGCTTCAAGTGCGTCTGATTGTTTGTAGTGATGAAAATCCGCTGAGCCGCTTCAACCTGACACTCAGCCTACCAGTCCGCCACTCCACTCAAAAACATACAACTGGGCAGACTGCGTGGGCTGACTTGGGGCGTCAGTCAGCAGTCCTCCAAGCCACGACGCTTAAGACGCCGCGATAGTCTCAGACTCCAGTCACACACACAGTAGGCGGGCCGTATGGAGACGGAGTCAGGACGTACACTTCCCACTTGCGGGGGAGGATTCAATTCGATGCATGTGGTGGGGGATGTTGATGTGTGGCGAGATGCTGTTGAGGGAGAATGTCGTGGTGTGATGCAGACGGCGGTTGTCTACCGCAGGTTTTCGTGGATGCGCATGTGGCTTAATAGACCCATGTCGTGAATAAATGTGCGAGCGCAATGTGGACAGTGGAGGCGGATGCGACGAGTGTAGTCTAGTGCCCGAGGCACTGGTGTGCCAGTCTCTGTGCGATGTATCCGTAAGTGACCGACCAGGCCGATGCGTGAGTTGAAGGTGCGGTCGAAATAAGGACAGATCTGGATCGAGTTCACATCGTTGGCGTTGTTGGTGGGGGAGGGTTAAAGTTTACCGGTGTATCGGGATTGTGCGCATTGGTGGTGGGTACAGGTGTCGCCGTAACGGATGGTGAGGCAACGGAAGAGGAGGAGGAGAGGGGGTTGGGAGTAGGGGTTCGGGAGTACGGTCAATGTTAGTTGTCAGCGTGGAGGATGAGACAGAGTACGACGGGGAGACAGCGGCTGGCGTGGGCCGGCTGTTGCAGTTGGTATGAAGATGTCTTACAAAGCCGACTGTCGTCCGCAACCCCCGCTGGCAGCGTCTGCATGTCGGGGGTGGTTGAGCGTTGGCGTCGCGGGGTGAACGCAGTTGAGATTTGCGAACCTCGCGTTTGACTTTGGCGGCGGTGATGCGGTTAGCTTTGTAAATCCCCGCGCCTGTCTCCGCTGTCCTCCTCAAGGTCGATCGGTCGGTCGCGGGCGAGGTCTTCCGCGTTGGTGGGATTGATTTACAGGCGTTTCAGGGAGGACTTCAGAGTATCCTTGTATCGACGAGTTTGACATGCTTGGCGACGGGAACCCGTGGAGACGTCTCCATGGAAGACCCGTTCGTGTGTGTGGTCCCGCGATGACGGCGGAAGCCGCACTGGTTTTCCGGCAATAGGCGTTGTTCTAGGTGATTATTCTGACGGTTGAAGAGGATGCGAGCCAAGGTCTTCCCAGCGACGTTCAGCAAGCAGATGCCACGACGGTTGTCGCACAACTGACGGTTTCCTTTCCGATTGTAAAGATGCACTACTGTAGCGTCCTTGAAATCCTACGGGACGTCTCTTTGATGCCAATTCTCCTAGAAGAGCGCATTTAGACAATCCATTATTTGGGGGCCACCGTGCTTGTGGATCTCTGCAGCGATGGTGTTCGATCGGGGCGCTTTTACGCTGGAGAGCTGCTGCACGGCCCTGATGGTTTCATGGAGAAAGGGCGGGAAGTCGAGGTCGACTCTGCTCTCCACTTGCGGCAGACGGGCGATATCGACGTCGGAGATGGTGGGGGGAAAGTTGAGGACGCATCTGAAGAGCTGGGCTCATCGCCGTAGAATTTGTGTCTTCTCGATGAGTAGGGTACTGCCGTCGACGCTGAGAAGAGCAGCAGTGTCTTTGGTCGGCGGAACATAGACGGTTTTGATCGCGGAGAAGAAGTTCTTCCAAGTTCTTTGTGCGGCTCCTGTTGCACGGGTGACACGAGGCCGACATGTGAAGCGCCGTGAATAGGAAGGCTGCTGATTGACGTCCCCACTCGGTCCACACAGTCTGTTCTGTTTTATGTGTTGTGTGGAGTGGCGGACTGGTGGGCTGGGGGCTGGGCCGATACAGCTCCTTCCAAGGCCCTATCACGCAAGTGAGAGACGCCGTTAAATCCCCTTTGAGCGAAATCTTGGTGTATGTGTGTGTGTCTGGGGGGCCAGGTCGTGCACGTGGCGCACGCACGCCTGGTCAGTCGACCATGCCAGCCACCGCGCCTATTCCCCACTCCAGTCTGCTGACCGGCTCGGACAGTGGCTGGGGTGTAGGAGTGGGAAGGAAGAGTGAGATCGACGACTCAGCGCACTTTCTCCTCACTATAAACAATCTGACGCGCTTGAAGCTATCACGGTGCGCTAAAAGCCGTGGCTTGGACGGTTGCCAACTGACGGGACAAATTGGACCTCGCAATCGGCCCAGTGTTGTGTGTGCTGCAGTTTTGGAGTGGCCGGCGGGTGGTCTGAGAGTCAGGCTGCAATTGCTCCTTCTTAATGTGCCCTTTATGACACTCTCACTGTGTGGAATCCGAGCCGGGCGTCAGCGGCACGCCTGGTTGCGGTTTCGGCCGTGCCAGCCTCCAATCTCATTTGTCTCGGTCAAAAACCTGGTTATTTTTTATGTAGACCAGGGGGTGTGGAGTGGTACGCCAAGGTGCAGACCCCACCGTGCCATCCACCTGCGGGCTCCCTCATCTCCTGTCTTGACTCCGGGTTCAGGTGGGGGAGGAGGAGAGACCGTGGGAGATGCAGCTCAAGTCTACCGATACTATAAAGCCGGCGCGAGTCACCGTCCCTGCTCCCAACATCTGCTGTGGGCACACGGTGGACATAGTCGAAATCGACCACCGAAATATCGTGTGTGTGTGTGTGTGAGACTACGCCTAGCGTCCATTTGCTGGCACCCAGCTCTCACCTGTGGTACCACGTAGCTGGGCTCTGCTTGGCGGCCACAGCCCGGTCAACCGCCTCGACTCGTGGGCTAAGCCAAATGAGGGTATCCGTGTGTGCATCTGCGCGCACGACACTTTGAACTCCGCTGGCCGGATGGATCTTCGAGGAGACATCGTCGAGACGAGGTTCCGTTTGGACCACCGCAGGAGGCCGCAATGCTAGTCAGCCCTCAGGTAAGCGAACGTCGCTGAACGTTTCCGCCGCCGCCGCCGCCGCCGCCGCCGCCGCCGCCGCCGCCGCCGCCGCCGCCTCGCAACGCCAACGATCAACCGGCTCCAACATGTCCACGATGTCTGCGGACATGCCGGGTGCCAATTAAACTTGTTGGGAACCTTCGGACAAACTTCAACACCTGGACTGTACCAACCGTCGTCTCTCAATCCACCTCTCCTTCGCTTCCCACGCCAGCAGTTAACCTTTTCCCTCCTCCCGAACCCCCACTTCTATCCTCCTCCTCCTCCCCCTCCTCCTCCTCCTCCTCCTCC